ACACTGATTGCTGATGGATATTAGTCGACATAGTCATTTTAGACATTTTATTTCTCCACACCTACCTTATAATATGAGTGCACAGGCTGCCCTTGTGAACCCTGATTCTTCTATCAGCTGAACGTGGGTGGGATCAGACACGATGTTTGGTCGAATGATGGACAGCTCCTAGATGTGTTGGAGGATGGATGGATGTTTATTCAGTGTGTTTCTGTGTTTCTCAGGAGGCACAGCGTCCAGGCAGAAGGGCTTCCGGGGTTGTATCCGCTCCCTGCAGCTGAACGGCGTCCCCCTGGACCTGGAGGAGCGGGCGGAGATCACCCCCGGGGTCCGGCCCGGCTGCCCGGGTCACTGCAGCAGCTACGGCTCGCTCTGCCAGAACCAGGGCCGCTGTGTGGAGAGAGCCAGCGGCTTCCACTGCGACTGCGGCCTGTCGGCGCACACTGGAGCCTTCTGCCACACAGGTACACACACATATATGTCAGGGTTCGTACGGTCATTAAAAACCTGGAAAAGTCATGGAAATTCCAAATGCTAATTCCAGGCCCTGGAAAAGTTATGGAAAACAATATTTCTCCCAAGGTTTTGGAAAAGTCATGGAAATGTAACTAAAGTTGCATCAAATATAATTTAAATGTTATCTAATCGCCGAAATAGTAATACTATAATGATAATAAATATTGTATAGTAATGAAACGTAAAATGGCATTTAACTGTCGAGGTATTTTGCTGGTGAGAGATTTGAGTTGCTTTAGCGTGTAGAAGCTAGTAAGCCTACTATTTGATTTGTTTTAGATCCGCACAACATGTTTCATATGCAGACCTTATTTTCCTGTTCCTTGTTCAAATAAACCATTTTCAGTGGTACCGCTGAGACAGAGTAATGTTTTTGGTCATGGAAAATTAGGTAAAGGTCCTGGAGAAGTCATTGAAAATCATTGGTGAAAAAGTGTATGAACCCTGAAATGTTTTGCTGTGGCTGGTGAAGCCACTCCACCAGCTACGTTAGCAGAAAACCATATAAGGTTCTGCAGGTCACAGAAGTCAAGGGAATGAAACTGTTGTCTTCCTGTCACTGTGCAACGTTCGTCCTGGTTTGACACAAATCTGTGTTTTAAATCAGTGTTATCAAAGAGTTGTTCGTGTCAAAGTTATGTCTGAAACAGAAAACAACATGTTAAACAGCAGGACATAATACCACCAGGTGCTATATATTTATATAAACCACACGTCATTCAATGACATTAGTGATTTTTGTTTTGCCAATTACCGTAGATCAAATAAGATTTTATACCGACATACATTTTTTGTAAACGGGTGCGTTTTGACCCGAGGACAACAGGAAGATTCAAGCATGGAGAAAAAAGGAGAAGTATTTGACATTGAAAGTTGGATTTTTGGAGTGGGTTTGCCTTTAATGTTCACTGCCTGGACCTCTCTCTAGTAGACCTGTCTAAACACTTTACAACATGTCATGTTCCATCTCCTTTCTCTGCTTTGCCATTCCTGCGTTCGCTCCTGATGTATCACAGCAGCTGAGGTTGAGATTGTTTTGATGTCTTATTTCAGTTTGTAGTTCCCGTAGCAAACGAGTCTCTGCAGAATATTTTCTGAACAGAGCCTTGAGCTTCTGTAAATATGACTTCTAATAATTATGTTAGACAATAGGCAGTTGAAATAAGATTCATTCCCTTCAAGCACATTCAGAAATACAAATAAAATGTCTGGGTGTTTATCTGCTGTTGTCTAAAGCAGTGGTTCCCAACCTTTTTTCCCAAGAGCCCCCCCAAATGACTCCTGTTGGAAGTTGCGGGCGCAACAGCGGTAATTCAAGTTTAAAAGTCTCGAAAATGCGCTTATCCAGAAAAGCCCGGTTTGGACACTTTACGGGCAGAAGAAATATTTCTATTAAAGAAAGAATTATAAATTTCTGTCTTTTTATGCCTTTAATAGCTACTAACTTGAATTGTTATTCAAATTAATTNATCAATTATTTTTTATATTTTATTGTAATGTAGAGACAAGGCTTTTAGTGACAATCATGTATTGCCTTATGTAAAAAAAAATAAATAAATAAATAAAAAGTCTAAATATGATATTTGGCCTCAAATCATCTGAGGCCTGGCGCCCCCCCTGCTATCTTTGGCGCCCCCCAGGTTGGGAACCACTGGTCTAAAGGATAAGGATCTATTACTATACTCTACATTTATCATATACAGTCTGTTTTAGAGCTTTTCAAATATTTAACTTGAATCAAAGCCCCAGTGGCCAAATGGTCTCCATGATTCAGATCCTGTACATTCTATCTCTCTTTCCTCAGAGTTGTCGGCCAGCTTCCAGTCGGGCACGTCGCTGCGCTACACCTTCAAGGAGCCGTACGAGTTGAGCAGGAACAGCAGCGCCCTGCCGTCCTCCATCTACTCTGACCTGACGCTGAGAGGAGAGAACGTCTCGCTGAGCTTCAGGACCAATCAGAGCCCGGCTCTGCTGCTCTACGTCAGCTCCTACTACACCCAGTACCTGGCCCTGCTCATCAACAAGCACGGTGAGGGGGCGCTCGCATCTTCAAGGAGCTTGTGGTTCATGTGGCTCTCAAAGCTCAACATGGAGGGTCTTTGATAATCTCTCTTCCTTCCTGAGTTGCCTCATCCCATGCTTCTTATTTTCTTCTCCTTTGAGGGTTTCATTTATTTACTTTAGAACGAGGTTACTCAAACTCATGTTCAGAACACTCTTCAAACTTTAACATAAGCCATTTGTACTAACGCTTCCTGTTCTTTCTACTTCCTTTATCTTCCATACAATGTTCCTCAAATCTCATTTTCCTCCAGTCTGCTTTTTTCTGTTTCTCTTGGGTTTTTTTTATCCACATTTTTCAAACCTCTCGTCTATTCATGAGATTTTCTCCTTTTTCAATTACCGTCTGCATCTCCTCCGAGCCTCTCGTCTAACTTCTCCTGCTCTCGTTCTTCCTCTCTCCTCTTCCTCCTCTGCAGTTGTACCAGATCAGGCTCTGTCAGATCTTTCCTCTCTCTGGTTTCACCCCGTCAGACTCGACCGCCTTTTAATCCGTGCAGCTGATGCTTGGTCTCAAACTGAAACTCCTCTCAGTGTTCTTTTCTGCTAATGGGTGGCAGAAAACTTGCTGATTTGTTAAATAATTACGTTGTGAGTTTGGCTTTTAGAAGTAGTAGGAGCCACTTCATTAGAAATTCCTTTTTACAAGAACCCTACAGAGCTGGCACTTTGCTGCCTGATTGGCTGTAAATGGATTTCTATTGGTGTTAATGAGAGGAAGCTGATGGAAAGCGTGGCGTTAAGGCTTCCTGCTGACCGTGGAGTCGTCAGGTAAATGCACTTAAAATGAAAAGACAAATTAAATTCCGGAGAGCTTTCTCTCATTCGCTCTGAGACGCCTCATTTCTTTTTACCCTCAACTGCAATCGCCCCGTCAGTCCAAACACAACGTCTCTACTGAAGGCACCTTTTGTCCTGCTATAACTACATTCTCCTTCAAATGAAACTGTTTATGTATGCTACGAAAGCACGTGCTGTATAAAGAAATCAAATGAAGGTCACGATGTAACTTCTTATCCCTCCTTTTCTTAAATCTGCACTTAATACTTTGATATTAGGAGATTTCATTAGATTAGCTGTGGTATCGACTCGTTATCCTTTTGATACAGAAATCTTTTTTTTTTAAATAATCAGATTTATCTTTGAAGGATTAAGTGTGTTTACCCTGAGAGCCAAGATTACAGGACATGGCGAGGCCATTTTCGGGAAAACAACATATCCACCTTGAAATAATGATATTTAAAATGTTCATCCGTCTGTTTGTAAGGTTGTTTGATTTATTGTGAGATCTTCAATTGAACCCTATTGTGTGTGTGTGTGTGTGTGTGTGTGTGTGTGTGTGTGTGTGTGTGTGTGTGTGTGTGTGTGTGTGTGACTTACTTACGTAGTACTACTACTAACTATTAGTAACGTAAGTTAATACGAAC